ACGATCACCCACAATCCCGCAGCGAGAGAGAGAAGAACCATTGGCTCAGTTGTGATCATGTGACATTTGGCATCACGTTCTACTCGTATTGCAAGACAGCGCTCATTTATCAAGTTAAAATTTATTAGAAATGTTTGCTCATCTTGCGGAACACTCGCAGATCAAGTTATTCGCAATCCAAGGTTTTACTGTATGTGGGTTTCATTTATTTATTTAGTGCAATTATACATGCTAAACAGAGGAGTTGGGTGCAGCGTAGGAAATCAAGCTTTGGCAGGGTGGTTTTCGGCTTCTCGCCAAGCCTCCTTCTAACCCAGGAAGCACAACTTTTAACCTACATTTTTAAGTGAATCAGACTTTCTGGTTTGGCCTAATTTGCTCTTTTAAATGTGTTATTTTTGCTGTTCTTGTTCCTAAAATTTAAATCCTAATTCAATGGCATTGTGCTAATGTTATTTTTCCTCATTTGCAAAGAGGGGCAATAAGGATATATTTCTGTCTATATTATTTAATCCTAAGAGTTGCCTGTATATTGTAATTGTAACTGAAACAACTTATTCTGAATAAAACTGAATTCAGTGATTTGCTTGGGACTAAAGAGCTTTAGGATTTTAGTGTACAGTCAATACCTTTTTGAAAGCAGCATTAACAATACTTTGCCCATCAAACTACAAAAATGAATCAATTTCTTTGTAGCTAATGGTCATTGATTTATAAGATGTATGTTTTCTTGTAAATGTCCTGTCTCTCCTTCATGTGCTAGTTCTTCCCTATATTGTTAAGCTCTTAAGTAATTCACCTATTATAATGATTTCATCTGGTCCTTCCCAAATGTTGTTAAGCTTTTATTTAAGTGAAGTGTGACTAACTGGCAGGATAAGTCTGTATTGTGGTCATAATTCTGTGTTACATTGCATTGAAATGGTCATAAGGTTTGTAAAATGCTTTGTGGTCATTTGATATTCCTTAATATACTAGTTTTTAATACTGACAGCCTCTAAGATTATCTTCAATGAATCTCTGAAAAAGTTGATGGTTGATTAGTAATAACTATTTATTGTAAGTTATATGTTGAGTCTTCACCTTAAGAAATATGATCCCGTTTTTCCAGCAGTGGTGGATGAACTGGAATACTCTCTTGCTTTTAATTTAAGGAATTTATTTAAATATCTAATTGCTAATGTGTTAAAAATATTAATGCTTTATCAGCTTGTGGCAGTAAGTTGGCATTACCATCTTAAGTGCTCTCTTGTTGTCAATTAATTTACTAAAATGTGACCAAGAATTAAAGCAAAAATTAGTTTCTACTGTTCATTTACAAAAAAAAAAAAAAAATGAACGGGGTGGGTAGTAAATAATGCCTCTTGGATATTTCCACTAAATTTTTAAGAACTACATAGAAGATTTGAACTTTGCTACTGTATATTATCTTTTGTTCACCAGGAATGATGTTTCCAACATTTAGTGACATTCATTTGGCTCCTTTTTCCGATGAACAGCTCTACATGGAACACTACTCCAGAGCCAATTTTTGGTAATAATTATTTCACTTTTTTCACGAAAAAAAGAGAAAGAAAAGTATTTTGCTTGGCAATTTAACAGGAATTTTCAAATGAAACAGCTTCTTGGAATCATAATGCAGTAATGAATTATAGATGTCTAAAGTAACTGCAAAATACTTATTTTACTGGTCTACAACTGTACCACTTAGGGCTGATTCTTAAGGCCATTGTTATATTTATTTATATATCCCTACACACTTGTTTTATAGGCTGTCAAAAGTCACAGTCATATTATTTGTGCAGCAATTACAGTTACCATGCAATAACTTGGTAATTTGAAGCCCGGGTCACATTGCCACTCTCCATTTTGATGCCTTCTTAATTACAGGCAAACAGTTCTTACCTAGGAAAGAAATGATTGTATATTATGAGAGTATACTTGCAAACTGAATGGTAGTGATAAATAGTATGGCATATACCTGCTCAAAGCAAAGAACTAGAAGAGAATAAGGAAAGGGTTTATGCGTTGTGTTTCAGTGGCAGCAGTAATGCAAGGTTAATGCAGTACTGGTTGAGTCTCAGTACAAAAATCAAAGAAGCAAAAACAAAAAGTGTGAGAAAAAATCAGAATGGGCTATGGTAGTAATGCTACTGAAGTAGTAATATTGTGGCAGCCATAATTCAGTAAGAAGTAAGATTTATAATCCAGTCACATATTTTAGAAGTGAACTCTAACTCTGAAGTTGGGTTTGAAGATTGAATCTTTTCATTTTAGGATTTTAGCTACGGTCATGTTAAGAACTGAATGGATGTTGTCCTGTCACTGCCTTTTCCAAAAATCTACCCTGCTCCTTAATGAAGAATTTTCCTCAAGATAGGTCAGCGGTGATATCAAAGGATGATGAACATAGCAAAATATAAGAGTGAAACTAGACATTAGGGTTAGTTATTAGTGCACCTGTGTCCTATAATTGCTTCCCTTCTGATATCATAACACATCTAAGTTTAATTCAATGTATGATAGTGTTTCATCACATTGAACATGTTCTCATCTTTCCAACCTATTACAAAGCAAGGAATATTTTAACTGAAGTTCCGTATTGCTTGTGTCATCTAGTTCTATGTTTTGGCTAGAATAATTCAGTTTGATTCCCTTTGGACATACCATAATAAAGAAAGGAATTTGTTTGGATGACATTTAATATACACTTAATATACCTACTTTGCATTTTAGACTAGTTTTCATTCTGACAAAAACTCTTGTATCGTCCACTTTCTGGGCTGAAACCGTCTTTTGTCTCCCACCCCCTCTAGAGGAACAACCATCCTAGCATATTTCTTTTCCCCCACAGCTCTTTAAAATGCAGCAAAAAGATACAGTACAGTAGTTCCTTGAAGGTGATGCAGCTCCTCTTGGTAGCTATCATTCCAATTTTGAGAAATCACCAATAAAAGCACATAACATAAAATAAAAGCATGAATGAGTAAGGGCAATGTTTGAATGCAACAATGTGCATGGAATGGGGAAAATGTTCTGTTTTGAACTGAAATAAACTGTTGTATTCCAGAGGTTTCCTAAACCATTTCAGATCAGCCACTGTTTGGCAAAACTGAAACTTGGACTACTCTAGTTCTGAGTTTTTCTCTGCTTTGAGCAAGATCAAAGATGTTGTGAGATGAGGAACTATATAAAGCGTTTAAATAAATAAATAGCAAGAACTATTTTAGAAGTTTTTACTAAGACACAATCAGTTCTAACACATTACAACTGTTAATGGATTAGATAATTTGTGATCTTTTCACGTATTACATTATTGCATCAGCATAACCATCCTGTCTTCCCCTCCTTTTCATCCCCCTCCCCAATTTATCCTAATTTAAATCCTGTATCAGTTTAACCCAGTGTTTTTCAAACTTGGCAACTTTAAGATGTGATTTCAACTCCCAGAATTCCCCAACCAGCATACTGGGAATTGAAGTCCACACATCTTAAAGTTGCCAAATTTGAAAACACTGGTTTAACCACTCCATGCATGTGATGAATTGAGCTTTAACTCACAAAAGCTTATGCCTTTTGATAAAATTTGTTAGTTAAAAAAAGTGCTACCAGACTCCTTGATATTTCAGTAGGGTATCTTTAATGCTAGCTTGGGTTAAATACAGAATGTTGGAAACTATCAGAGGAATTTCCCACCCTCAATTATAATGAGTCAATTAAGGTGGAGTATTTTTTTATTTGAAATGCTTCTTCTCAGATTTCTATCCACCTGGTTAAGTTGCTATTTATTAGACTTGTCTGCTTGATTGTTTATGTCTATTTTCTCTTCCATTCCTTTCTAGCAACTCCTCTCCCATTTAGTTCCTTGCGTGGACCAAAACACATATTTTGGTTTGGCTGTGGACTACCTCAGACCAGCCAGTTTTGTGCACAATGGGTTCTGCCTGTCCATATTTAAATGCAGTTTTTCACATTCTCTGATTGGTCAGCTGAAGTAGTACTGATCAACTAATGGTGTTTGCAGGTTTTCATGGTTAGGGACATTGAACATACCTTTGGATCAGCTTTAAAGTGCTTTTGAAGGAATAGGGAGCCAAAACAGTGATGTGGAGTTACTTCCAAATCCACTCCCATGTAAAGATTTTAGGCTTATTAAATTGGTTTTCTCTGATGGGCAAGAGTGGGTGTGGATATAGATGTATGGTAAATATGTATACAGATATATTAATAGCATTCAAAATGCTTGCATTAAGTAAATTATTTATAACTAAATTTGGATATATGTGTACAAAATGGTTACAGAACTAGGTGCAGACTTTTTTTCAAATAGTTTCAAATACTGATATGGAAACAAGGTTGAAGAAAGTTAAGATTGAAGAAAGGAAACAAAATGGTGTTTCTCAATTGCCTATTTTTCTGTTTCTTGCTTTCCCCATTGCAGTGGGCAGGTGTCATAAGAAAGGATGTAACAAAAATGATCTGCATAACTTTTGCTAAAATGGCTTATACTACTTTAAAAAGTGATATTAAAGTTTGTTTCAATCTTGCATTTTTAGAATGTATATGAAGGATTCAGTTGATTTGTCTTCCAGCAAATTTGTTTGATCAGAATTCTGCAGAGATTTTATGCAATAGGTATTCTCATAATTTTGGAATCCTGCATTTGTCATTCATCTGTGAACATTTTCTTTCTTTCTTTCTTTCTTTCTTTCTTTCTTTCTTTCTTTCTTTCTTTCTTTCTTTCTTTCTTTCTTTCTTTCTTTCTCTCTCTCTCTCTCTCTCTCTCTCTTTCTCTCTTTCTCTCTTTCTCTTTTAAAACACTTAAGGAATAAAATAAATTACTACATAAAAGGAAAAAGAAAGTGAAAAAAGTACATAGTGGATGAAAAGTTAAATATCAATACAATTTACAATATCAATACAAAAATATCAATGCAATTTACAGTTATAACATTTAAGATTATTTCACTGATTAAATAATTAATTGAATATATAAAACTAGACTCATTGTATCATCTTAAGAAATAATTGAAAATCACTACTAAACTCTAAACATTTAATATTTATATTGATATCACCACTATTTGTCATTATTCCTAAAATAAATGCCCATGATATTGTAAAAAGAACAGAAGAAAAAGGAGAAAAATGAAAAATTGAGGCAAACTCAGATACTCAGAGTATAGTTTTTAATGTTTTTAAATATTTTGATGTAATCACTAGTCAGGTACAATGGGAAAGAATTTAGAACTCAATACTATTTTTATAACTCTGAACATTTTCTTGTCATAAGCCACTCAATCATTTCTAGTGTATTTTATGTTTCTGAAAATTGATACGTGCTCCTGCATTGTGGTTTAGTTGCTTGTTTGATAAAGCAAAAAGTTGATGCATCCAGATAGGTTTGTAGAGCAGGTGCCTTTTTATTTTCCAGCTCATTATATCTTCTGCTGGGCAAATGGCATAGAATCTTGGGATCCACCATTCATAGATAAATAAAGTATATTTCTGGGATGAAACCATGGGCACTTATGGCCTGTGTTAGACCTTGGAGACTGGCAAAAACAAATGGAAGGCATGACAATGCTCACCTCTTACATTTTCTGTATTTAAGCTTGACTGAGTTTACTAGTCAGTTTCCAAGCATTGTCACTCACCCCTTCTGTACTCTGTTTTTTAAGCCCTTTACTTCCTGAAATAGCAAGGATGTTTGAGATTTGAATTCATTAGGACCCCTTGTTAGAGTATCTGCTCCTGAAAATAAACAGAGCGCTGAAAGAATATTGAGTAATTGAATAGCAGAATATCCCATTAAAAGAAAAATATTAATAATATAGTTCTTGGATGCAGAGCATGAGTTAACCAGCTACCAATGAATAAAACAATGAATCAATGAGTTGCTCTGGAGTTGGGTGGCACCAAAATTGAATAAATAAATAAATGCTAACAGACATTCATTATATTTGAAGTAAAAACTAGATTTATTAAGAAATATAAAGTCTCACTTCTTGCTAAAGTATACCTTGAACAGTACAAAACAAACAGGAAGTTTCCTTTGTTTCTTAAACACAGAGACTTATTTAATCATAGGCCAGGTGAGAAATAGATGTGATGGATAACCTATGGAGACTTTCCTCTCATAGATCATTCCTCATTTGTCCTAGTAGTCAAATAGGCTCCTAGGTACCCAATTTGGAGTTATGTTGTAGGTGTGTGTATATGTGCATGCATGTAGTCCATAAGGTCATACTAACAACTCAAGGATTAGTTGCACCAAGGTAGTTCATGCATAGTAAGCCTATCCAGTAGTCTGAGAGGAAGCACAGAAGGTTTATCTGATGCTTTTACTGATTAAATGCATTTTAGTTGGACTGAATTGTACCTTCTTAGTTATTTGAAGTTTCATTGGTAGAAAACATGGCTCATTTATTGATTTAAACTTATTATTCCACTGATTCTTGGCAATTTGCAATAAAAAATAAGACAATTAAAAACGATTAAAAACAAGCTTACTTAAAAAGGAGTATTTGTTTT